CAGCTTCTTGAAAATGTCAAGGAACTTGGAATACTGCTGCTTTTTGATTTCCTCTCTGAACCTCTGCGGATATGGAATCTTTGCATAAGGTGAGAGCTCCAATGGCTTTTCTTGCCTTTCTTGAGCTTTCTTTTTCTCCCATTTGAACTCTTTCTTCTCAGGAACAGTTTTCTATGCAGCAAATTCTTTGGCAACTTCCTTTTCTTTTTCCTTTTCAGTTGCAAGATCATCATCTTTCTTTTTCTCAACTGAAGGCTTTACCACAGGTTCAATGGCTTTCTCACTCATAGTAGTAATCGCATTGCAGTGTTCCCTACTTGGATTTGGAATAGTGTTACCTGGAAAAGTTCCTTGAACTCTTTCAGTGAACTGCTTTGATAGCTGGCCAATCTGAGTTTCAAGATTCCGGATAGAAGCTTCTTGATTCCGGAATGAGGCCCTTGTCTCTTGCATAAAGGCTGAAGTGTCTTCTCTGAAATTATTGGAACTTTGAATGTAGTCTGATGTGGTCTTGGATAGTTGTGCAAAGGCCTTTTCCCATTCTGATTGTTGAGGAGGTTGCTGTTGCACTGGCATAGGAGGATTCAGCTGATGGTTCGAACTGTAACTAAATCCCGGGTGTTGATTTTGATTTTTATTTCTCCACCCTTGATTTTGATTATTATCATATTGGTTCCTCCCTGGATTATATAGAGCTTTTTGATCATGCCAAATTCCATTAACATCTGCAGTTTCGGGTGCCTGGCAGTCTTCAGTAGCATGAGTACCTGCACAAATATCACAAATGATAGCAGGAGTATTAACAGAAGAAACTTGAAATTCAGAAAATTGTTTTGCGAGAGCATCTAGCTGTTGTTGCTGTTTCTTATTGGATTGTAAAATCTGCTCATTCTGAGCCAAGATGGCATCACAACCATCAAGCTTCATTATCCCCGCTCTTCTCTGTGGTACCGGAGCATTATCGTACTCTTGAGAGGCTAGAGATTCTAGCAATTCTAAAGCTTCCTCTGGAGTTTTTGTTTTTAAGAACCCTCCTGATGCAGCATTCACCAATGTCCTTGTGTTGGGCGTCATCCCTTGGAAGAAAGTTCTCGCTTGTTCCCATGCTTCAATGCCATGTTGGGGACACTTCCTGAGTAGTCCTTTGAATCTTTCCCATGCTTCATATAGAGATTCACTTCCTTTTTGTTCAAAAAAAATGATATCCGCCTTGAGCTTTGCCATTTTCGAAGATGAGAAAAAAAATTCTAAAAATTTGGTGGCCAAATCGTCCCAATGGGTGATGCTCCCTTGAGGTAGTGATTGCAACCAGCCTCTTGCTTCTTCTTTAAGTGAACAAGGGAACAATCTGAGCAAAATAGCATCCCGAGACACCCCATTCATCTTCAAGGTATCACAGTATAGCAAGAAGTTTTCCAGATGGATGTAAGGGTCTTCCGTGCTTCCTCCGGCAAACTGGTCCTTTTGAATCAGTTGTAATAATGCAGGCTTGAGTTCAAAGTTGTTAGCATCCACTTGTGGTCTAACAATGCTAGCTGTCTGTGGAACTCGAGCAGGAGTCATGTAATCTCCCAACGTTCTCGGAGGTGGTGGAGGTGCATTGTTGTCTCCCATTGCTTCTTCTCTTGGTTCTGTTGAGCTTGAAGCTTCTTTCTCTTGATGTCTTCTTTCTTTAGCAAGTTTTCTGTTTCTTTTTGCTGTTTTCTCTATCTCTGGGTCAAATTGCAAGGAATTGGTGTCAATGGTACCTCGCATAAACCAGAAAAATAGATTATATAAAATAAGAAAATAAAACTGAATTTAAATAACAGAAAATTAAATAACAGAAAATAAGGTCCAATCTAAAGAATTAATAGCTACTATTAATGTTGAAATAGTAATCCCCGGCAACGGCGCCAAAAACTTGTTGCTACTCACGGCAAGTGCACCGATCGTACAAGTAATATATGATTAAGTAAGAGATCGTTCCCACGAGGATTACGGTTCAAGCACCAATTCACTATCGCAACTCAAGTTGGACAATCAAAGTGTATTTGGAAACAGGATTTGAATTGCAAAATTAAAACATTAAATATTAAAGCTAATTACTTGCAGGAATTAAAGACGTGAAATTAAAGATGTGATTTAAGAATGTAAAAGAAAAACGTAGCTAGGGGTTCGATTTCATTTAATCTCCTTATTATGTTTGAATTCCTTCTTAATGTTAATTGTCCTTAGTATCAATCTAATCAATTCTTTCGCATGTTATTAGAGCTCAATCCCTTGTTACTCTAAAACCTTTACAATATTGGAAGAACCCTAGTTCCCCGGTTATTCCCCAAGCATGCAAGCATTAAATTCAAGAATCTTAAAGATTACGCAAACCCTATATCTATCCCTAGAATCATAACGTTTACGATGAAGTTATCAGATATGGATCACACACCAACATTCCTATTGTCATGCATTCACCGATGATCATTATATAAGATTCAAGCCTATATAAAGCATTAAAAACAGATAACTTCATTCATGATATAAAGGAAAATTAACACAGCGAATTTGTTCAAAACATAATAAATCGACTAAAATCCATCTAACCCTAACTACTTAAAGAACTAGCCGGACATAGCAAAATCAAGAACAAAAGAAAATATAAAAGCTCCCCCAAACTCCATAAGTGATTGGTGGATCTTCAATATCTTCGGTGGACACTTGACGTTGATCCGTCTCCGCCGCTCACGAACATGAATCTGATGTTTCTCCGCGTTCCTTCAGCCTCCAAGCACCCAAGAGTTGTTTAGCAATGTAAAAGTTATGTATTTCTGGTCCCCAATGGTGTTTAAATAGGTCAAGAGTTCGTATTGCAGTAGAAAACTTGAATGGGCCTAAGTTGGATCTGACTGGGCGCTTAAGCTTGTTGTAGCGCGCTTAAGCGCCCTAGGACGGTGATTTTTGACTCGCGTTGCGCGCTGAAGCGCTCTGGAGGGCGCTTAAGCGCGCTCCTCGCAACGAAACTTTCTTCTTGTCCTGCGCTTAAGCCTTGAGTTGGGGGCTTAAGCGCCCAGAGGCAGTGGCAATTGCGTTTTTGGAGAGCTTAAGCTTCTGAATGGGGGCTTAAGCTCCCACTTCTAACAACTTGATAAGATCTTCAATCTTATTGTTTTCACCTTGATTCATCTTCTTTTCTGATTTGATCTCTCTTTATCTAAATCTTCATATTTGAATCATTTGTTATCAAATCCCTTTAAAAATAACAAATATATTAATTAGTTCCAACAATCAGATAATGTTCATGATTATCATTTTAAAACCCTAATTTTTGACTTGTTCAACTAGATAATTCATATTATTTTAGTCCATTAAACAAGATAAACTAAAGGTTTATCATTACGTGAAATAAAAGAAAAATTATCTAATCCGAACACTCAAACTAAAAATTATGACATTTCAAAATTTTACCTTTAAACTACCAAAATTTTGTGTCGTCATATATCATCATCCTGTTATATTCTAAAAACTTGTTGCAACTCTGATAGCGAGTTCTAAACTGACTGCCATGCGTCTTGGCGCAGCTGAGCATTTTGATTTGTTTGACCATAAAACTCATTACCATTGACAACAAATTCAGTAGCCTAAAATCTCGTGTCATGTGACATTTGAAGCTGGCTGCCATAACAAGTTTGTTACCGTGGCGTTATAGTAAATCTTCGGTACCTTGTGTAAAAAATCACTTCAATCCAAAATTTTAAAATGTTAAGTGATAATTTTTTTAATGATTTATATTATTCTCTAACACACCCTCTCACGCAAGAGCCTTTTGAGCTTGAAGCTTGGATATTGGACAGGCTCAATTTTTGATTTATCTTTTTGTACTTTTCTATTTAATTCCACAAGTGGGGCGGTGAGGATTGAACTCGTGACCTTACGGTCACTCAAGCTCTTATACCATGTAAAGAACCACTTCAACTGAAAAAATCTTAAAGTGATGAGTGAGAGCCTTTTTAAAGATTTATATTATTCTCTAACACCACGTGATATTCCTATAAAAAAAATTGTGAACAGTGGCGGTATGTTCAAAGTCCCGCAAACTGCTGCGATAGACTGAAATAATGGAATGAGTTCAATGACGTAACTTGAAAAAACATGTTCTACTATTTTTGTGTTTTTAAATGCTATCCCCCCTGCTTGTTATTTATGGTCACGAATTTGGGTGTGTAATTTGAGAGCAGTATTACTGTGGTATTGAGCACGGGGTACGATAGTACTCTAAAATTAAATTACAAATTATATATTTTAAAAAATATATAACTATAATAAACTTTTTTTCTCTCTTTAAAAAATATGTTATGTCAACTGATATGTTATGTTCCAATTAATAGGTTTTACATATGACCATAAATCGATAATATATCTGATTTTTTTCGTGTAATTCTCTATGTTACACTGACATAGGACACGGGATACGACACAACACGACACTCCGACACGTTAATTATAAAAAATATTAAATTTTGACACGTTAGGACACGTTTTGATATTATATAATATTTTTAATTTATGTAGTGTATATTATATTTAGTATTCAATAATTTAAAAAAAAATAAAGCTAAACTTATAATATCCATCAATTTTGCAAAGTTATCTCAAATGTTTATATTAAACTCAATAAAATCGTAATTGTAATCTAACGAATCTAATAGTTGGAACTCAAGATGCAACGCAACGTAACATTTGAACTTTTTTTTGAGTATTTGCAACAAGTATTGAAGTGTCGGAAAGTGTCGAAAAGTGTCACATATCAGGATTTTTGAAGTGTCGGTGCTTCATAACTAATTCCATTCATTGTTTCTTGTACTGGTTCAAGTATTTTTTTTTTTTTTTTAAAAAAAAAACCATGAAGTCTCTGTCCTTCTAGAAACAAAAAATAAAATAAGGGTGTTGTGTGGTTGTGTATTAATTAACTAAGCCAAAAGAGGGAAGTTATGGTATGGTAACTTACAACAAATTAAATATAGAATAATTTCGAGATCGGAATAAGATGTCCATCTTAAAAATAAATAAATTATTTTATTAGTATCAGTTATTTGATTAAATGGTTTTCTGATGAATAATAAATATCTTTATACACATACTTTTAAATTATATAAAAGTTTAAAAAGTTGAATATTTTAAGTTTGAATAAAAATTATTAATAGTTTATGCAATAGTTGAATTGAATCAATAATTTATTTTTTTGGTATAAATCTGGAGGTATTCTCGTTCAACCTCCTCCAGTCATCTTGAAGGAACATAGGGAAAGAACATAGGGTGCATTAAATTTTGCCACCGAAAAAAGGATGAGACTAATCCCCTATCGAGAAGAAAGACGATTCATCTGGCCCCAAAAGATTTTCCAAAAATTTGTTTGAGTCAAGATTTAAATTCCTGACCCAACCAAATTTTTAGGAGCCTAGTTGCCACTGAGCTACCTTAGTTGTTATAAAATTTGTTTGTTACGTTATTTCATTAACATATTATTTTATATGATTGGTGTCAAATTCAATGCCCCAACCATTTGTAAATTTTTACTTATTATTTTTTCCTAATGTTTTCATAATTCGTGAGCTATCTGTTTCTGAATGGTTTATAATCTATCTGTAATTCTTCTATATATTGAGATATGTTTCATAATTGTTCTATCTTTTGAAATGATTTTAAGTAATTGGTCATCTGCTAAAAGTAAATTGCTCAAAAGACAAAAATACATACTCAAAATTGTTAAATTACGAATGTAAATTTACGTAAAAGTATTGCTAATACGACTAAATTATTTTTAACAATTAATTATTTGAACAATAAAATTATATTTGTGTATATTAATTTAGGATAATACTTTTATCATTTTACATGAAATAAAAATTACTTCGTAGTTCCTATAGAGAAAATAAATGTAGATAGAAAAAAAAAATGAAGTAAAAGAAAAAATTTACAATAAAACCCACGTCTAAATATAGGTGTAAGAATATTTTGATCTAGAGACACATTAACCCCATTATCGAGACAAATGCATATAATGGGAGAAGGATATATTGTTATACTTCAAAGACTAACGAATATTCTAATTTATTTATTTTTTTCAGTCAAAGCCAAGATGATGGATTTGTAACCAAGGAATTAATACTATCGAAAGCGACAAGCTAACTCCCCACAATGATGGGCTGATATAATTTAGATCTATGGTCAAATCACACTTGCCTTAATAGCAAAACCAATATTATGAACTATAATATGTTTCACCTTTTTCTTTAATTTGGTAATCCGTTGCATTCCGCTTTAATTATGAGAGGGCACTCACAAATTATTAATTTATTATTTATCATGCTAGCACATTTTTAGTGCTACAGGAATATCTATTCCGTTGTCAAAAAGAAAAAAAAATGAGATAAGGATGAAAATAATTGTAATTAATAAAAAATATAACCCGTATCTTTCAAAAAAATATAACCCGTGCTTGTCTGCTTGATACTCCCATGACATTAAAAATATTTTCCTATCATGACACTACCAAATAGAAAACAAGTGGCTACTTCATTTTCATTTCT